TATGTCCCGACCCTCACATCAGTTACCATACGCTTGATTTCACGTCTATGCCTTTACACAAAATCATTTTAAAACGTCCCCTTCCCCACTTTTTCACCAGGTCTCAGCTTTCAAACCGTCGTTGATTGACTTATGTATTGTCTGTAAAAATTCTGTGCAAGTATCATTATTTAGCTGATATTATTACCTGCAATGTTTTTATTACCACATTTATTTTATTATAACAACAATCCGTATATCACATTTGCTGCATAAATATTTACAAAGAAAACAAGTCTCATCACAAATCACCACCCGATCATAACAAATGTGCTTTAGGCTGCTTTCATCCAAGTGAAAACGTTGAAAAATGACGAAACTGCGATTAGAAGAAAGTATACGTATCGATTTGAAGAACGGCGGAATTGGGAGAAATGCGGAATTTGCAGAAATGCCGAAATGACGGACAAAAATTTGATAGGGATTGATCGCTTAGCTCTGTCACAGGAAGGAATGACGATGTCCGAAATTTCTGCGTTTCCGCAGATTCGTTATGCTTTCAAATCGATACCTACACTTTCTTTTTCCAGCAAATTCGGCATTTTCCCTAATTCCGCGTTTCTTCAAATCGATACGTACACTCTCATCTGCAGTTTCGTCACTTCCTCTGTCTTCCTTGAACGCGACCTTACAACCACAGAGACATTTCAACCGTCTTCATACAAAGAATTGCTCGAAAACCGTGAGAGAATCATCAGTAATTAAGCCGCTGCGCGAACCGATACCCCTTACTGGAAAAAGGGGGTAATTTTTGAGAACTGTTCCAGGAAAAAAATCCCCCTTTTTGGGTTCCCTAGCTAAGCACTAGAGCCAAGAGCTACAGAAACAAGGCACACTCTACGTACGGATTGCTCAACGCAGAGAAGGGGTCGTATTTGGTCGTCGAACGGAGGTCGTATTTGGTGCCGAAGTTTTTTTTTCGTTCCAGCGCATTATACGCCTCCGTTTCCCAGGTTCCCATGAGAGTGAGCATCCGCTGAGATGTTCTCTAAAACCAGGGATAACCTCTCCATCGTAGGCTCCACTGTCTCGAGCCACCACAGCCTAGAAGGCATCGGCACCACAACCTCCAGGATCTCGAAGCCAGAAGAAGTCCGTCATTTGCGGTTTGAGCTCACGCCTAAGCAGCGCGTGATTTACAAGGCTGAGCCACTGCGTGGTGGACACCGGTGGTCTAGCTGTTCCGTTAACGTCGTCAGGGTTCACGAACTGTTTTCATGACCAGACCAAACCGCATGCATGGTACGTGCTAGCCACCAGACCACCCTCGCCTCAGAACATCATTGATAGTTTCCGAAACCTTTTTGTTACTATATCAGTGTTCTCTTTACCCTTGGACAGTTATCTAGACCCCCCCCCACCCTCTAGCCACAAGTCCTAGGCTCCGGGAATCCCGTCCACGTAGACATGACAGATTCTGAAGATACAAGGATTTAGACCAGTGTCCAGTTTGAATGTACTGAGGGGGCCACTTGTATGCCACACAGGTTCTTAGGGTACGCTCCATGGGCAACGTCTTCCTTTTTTCTTCCCCCTCCTCCGCCCCCAGTATTGTGACCATAACCTACCACATAAGTAAGATAACAAGAACAAAGACAATTCTCGTACAATCAACAAAGGAACAACGTGGGAAAACAAAGCTGAGAAAACCCTCAATAAATATTAAATTACTGTTTACTACTCACAATCTTACATCACGAACACCTGTGCGATGTCATCGTGGTCGTATGTCTTCTTCAGGAAGGAGTCTACTATCCGAATACCCGAAATTGACTGAAATACAAAGCTTTCACCAGTGGAAAAAAAAGACACAACTCACAACTTTCGTTTCCAAGGCATTTAGGAGGGGAAGGGGGAGGTGCGCCTCCTTCTGTTCTGCGCTTTTATGGGCCAGGGTGGATGGAAGGAAGACAGCTGGGTGAACACTATCCCGTCGAAACGGCGCAATCAAGTTTTAACGGGGAGCAGATTTTCTCGCAGTCAGTCAATCCTCCGATTTATTCAAATCTACAATGTTTCCAAGACAGTCTCATTAAAGGACCATGCAACATGCTCCCATCAAAGCACCAGTGAAACCGTTCAATTAGAGCTCCGCACTCGGTACCACTGGAAGCGTGGAGGCTCCCCCCCCCACCTGAAGGCGACTAACTGAAGACCAACTATCGTCGAATTTGGCACTATTTACATTTATAGCCCCACTTCTCAATATTCAGACCAGATTCTGATCAAAATTTTTCGTTGAGGCAGAGTTTGCTTGGGAACCAATCGGCGGAGGTGGCTAGAACTCTGGACACGATTGTCACCCTAAAAATCCTTGGCTCTCGCACCGTGCGCTAAAACTTTCAAAACACCTACATTGCCGAAAACTTGTCAACGGCGGAAGCTCAACCCTCAAACTCATGTATCACACCCGCGGCGCGAAAAAAAAGAGTGGAACGTGTGTCACAGGTGACTGCACCAAAGCTGACCCAGCTGTAGAAGGTAAACAGTGTGCTGGATTTTTATGAAACCTGGAGGCGCTGTGCGGCCTTGGAGGGGCACTTCGCACTTTTTCTGATTCATTTTGCCAGTACATATATGTTAACCGGTTACACGTTGGTGAGACCTGTAAAGTTCTGTTGAGCTGTGAAATAGTACAAGTGATACACTTTGATATCACGAATTTCCAGGTCTCCACAAGGTGCCCTGAACTTGGTTTGCTTAGTACCACTCGGTGCCCCCACCAAGCCAAATTGGGCCAAGCTAAATTCAATCAAGCCTAATTCAATCAAGCTAGTTTCTTACCTGAAATCCTATGGAAATAGGAAGAATCTCAACACTGAACGAGACGCTACCGTTCGGGGGTACCTGTCCAAGAGACACCCCACTGATTGAACAAAACACGAGTGACGTTGACGTATTTTGAAGTTCAAGTTGCAGATCCAGTGATCGTTCACTGAAACAGTAATGCTGCTTCCAATGTAACGGATTTGGTTTGAAGAGAAGGTGCTTTACGACCAGGGCACAGCATCGCCTTGTGCGAAATTCTCGACCACAACGACCCCGCCTCCCCCGAAGTCTTCTCTTTCTGCACGACCTCGTTCAACGTGTTTCCTCGAAATCTGACCGCCGAGCGGGGTGGGGGTTGGGGGTGGGCGGATAGACTAATGAAGAGCGAGAGGGTGACACGGCGAAGTGTATCACACAACCTATCCTGACCCTACCAGAACCAACCAAATCATCCAAGTTCCTATCAAAACAGGATCCTCCTATTGGGATTCTGCTGACGACGAGCTCCCAAATCAAAGAGGAATATCATCTGTCACAAAACACTTTCTTGAGGGTACTCTCCTCATCATTACGGACTGTCGGGGCGGGTCAGTGCGGCTGCGTTTTCCGCGGTGCCAAAGTCTTTCTGCACCAGTTGTTGAAGCGAGCAAATGACATGACAGCATTATATCCTTCGTATTACTCGTTTTCTACCACTTTTTGTCGCATACGCGTTTCAACGAAAAGGCTGAGAACGGCTTCAAACAGTGTGCGCACTCCTACTGGCTGACACGCCCCGACAGTCCGTAATGATGAGGAGAGTACTCACGACCCCTCCCCTCCCCGAACAGCTAGATTGCCACCCCTCCGTCATATATATTTTTC